GTATACTATAATATTTTATTTTTTTAAAAGGAATCTGAGCTTGCAAATTCATAGTGTAAATGTTGCCCAAACACCTGTGTTTTTAGGGAGCTTGTGTTCACCATGGCTATTTTCTATCTCCACTGCTGAGAGGCAGGGTGCCTCTGAATACCAGTGGCTGGGAACTTCAGGTGGGAGCAGGCCACCATGCTCAGGTCCGGACTGTGGGCTTCCTATGGGCATCTGGTTGGCCTTTGTGAGAACACGAAGCTGGACTAGATGGGCTCTTGACTGATCCAGCAGCTTTCTTCATATGCTTTAATGTCAGAATCAGTGGCGTATGACAGAATATTGGTGAAAAGGTATGCAGGTATTTCACATTTCAACATTTTGTGAACTTAGTGGGATTAGATAATGTGCTAGAGTGATTGGGGGAGAGGCCTGGGAATAATCTAAAAGAGTACTTCAGCAGGCTTAAGTCTGAAGCTGCCTTGTTAATAAAAAAAAGTTCCTCAACCATGGATAAAATTGCTGAGGCACAGCAAGGTGTATTGGAAAGTTTCTTCACTCTGCAGCAATGCAGTTATTAAAAAAGAAGTCACAGCTAGTATTGGGAAAGGCTAGGTGAATGAAGGATAGTCATGGTTAATGTTACCGAAGATGAATAGCAGAGTCATATCTTCCTCCCTGCCCCCCAGGACATACAATTTTTTTGAAATGAACCCTTCCAAAAAGAGATGAAGTGTGTCTAAACAAAATGATACCGCCTGTGCAATCTATATTACCTGCAGCATTTGTAAGCCATATGCATGGTGTCTTCATACTGTCAAGTTGGACACTCTGAGAGCTTGTAACTATTCATTTTATATCTATGAAGGAAAGTGGCCTGTTGTGCCAACACTGACCCAAGTTACTGCAATATCCTACAATCTGAATCCTTTTTTTAAAAAAAACACCAGAATGGATTATTGTAGTTCCCCCAAGGAATATGATATCTTTATTTCCTGCTAGTAAAATCCTGCAAGACCATGGCTTTAAACGTTTTCACTAGGACATTGTAAAGAATTCTGTTCACCCAGTGTAGGTAAAGTGATACAATGGATTTGTAAAATGATTGGCACAGAACAGTGGCAGCAATAAAATATTGCATTATAATCTGCATGAGAAAATAATTGCTGTGTGCTGAAGTCTTTGAAAGGACGGACGGATGTGCTCTCAAATGATGGAATGTGGCTGCAGCTGAATGCAGAATATAGGAAAGCTTTTTACCCAGTAAGATATAATATGAGGTAGTCACTTTACCTGCTGTGGCAGAAGCAGAAGCTTATGTCATTTTGATTATTCTGAAGCTTTATCTCCCACCCTTCCAACAGGTTGCTGAAATAGGAAGGGAGGGGGCCAAACAAATCCCAAGTAGATCAGAGAAATGGAGCAATAATGCCCTTCTTGCCACTGTGATTGTTCCACCCTCCCTATGTTTCCTTCACCACTATGACTCAACAATCGGATATTGTGCCTGTGCTGGGCACAACCCAGCCCATTGTGAAGCTTTGATATGTGCCATTATGTATAGAGTTTTGTGTAAGTCTTTTGTCTGCCTGACTGCTCTGTTTCACAGATGAAGAGTGTTCCATTTGAAATAATAATAATAATAATAATAATAATAATAATAATACAAAATACAAGGGCCAGAGAGGCCAGTGACGTGAGACTAACAGGGTGAGCATCTAGTCTCCCCATAGTTAATACATGCAGATCAGAGTATCACATTCCTCTTACCAGTGTGGTGTAGTGATTAAGAACGGTAGACTCGTAATCTGGGTAACCGGGTTCGCGTCTCCGCTCCTCCACATACAGCTGCTGGGTGACCTTGGGCTAGTCACACTTCTCTGAAGTCTCTCAGCCCCACTCTCCTCACAGAGTGTTTGTTGTGGGGGAGGAAGGGAAAGGAGAATGTGAACCGCTTTGAGACTCCTTCGGGTAGTGATAAAGCGGGATATCAAATCCAAACTCCTCCTCCTCCTCCTCCTCCTCCTCCTCCTCTTCTTCCATGACAACATCTCTTTATCAGTACCCTTGAACCCTTATCACACCTTCATTTTGGCGTGTTATGGAATAGGGGTGAAAGGATTGGATTAGTTACAGTCCATTATTCTTCTGACATTCCAATATCCTTTGGGTTCCTCTTTACTTAAATTCTGGTGGGAACTGCAGATTTTGGATTGTCAGTAACAGACTATAGGTATGTACAGTAATAAAAACTAAAAACTAAAAAATCCCAGGGAAGTAGTATTGCGAGCCTTGTTTTATTTTTCTTTAGCATTCTTGGTTACCTAACCTATTATTATTTCAACAGTTCCGGCACATGCTAAAAAAAAACCAACTTTTATTATTATTAAAGGAAAGTTCCAGCCTTAATTGGTAGAGGTACCTTTCTAATATATATTTTATAAATGTGTGCTGTCTTTAACCAGCAAATAGTAGAGAGCTTATTCAGTATGTCTGCCAGAGCTAAGGTCAGCAGCACAGACAGAGTTGGACAAAGAACACCATTTTCCAGCTTTTTTGTTAGTCTTGGCTTGAAAAGACCACACATTTCCTTCCCCGCCGAACAGTTTAGCCTTTGTTCGGTACAATTAATATGCTAGGCTGAGAGCAAAAAATGTGTGAACCTTAAGAACGCCGTATGATTGTCAGGTAATTAACAAACTGGAGCAGCTATGCTTTAAGAACCACAGATAGGACTGGCTGTGGACACAGCTTTAGTTAATCTTAGTCCTTTGTATTTTTTCTTCATCTACCAAGTGTATTGTGGCTATGGGAAGCAACTGTGCTTTTTTCACATGTCAGCTGTCTGAATCCCAATACATCCAGTTAGCTTAGTGCAGACCATGTTGGCTTGACTATAGAAAAATTAATTAACTAAACTGCTTTCAGGCTTCTCAATAAGTTATGGAAAACTATTTTTTATATATAAAAAAAACTTGCTCAAGAGACAATTGGAAGGCTTGTTAATTATTTCCTAGTATCTATTGTCTTGGCACTGAAATCAAATAAAAGCTGTGGATTTTTGTTTTTAATCATTGACTATATTGCCCACACTATACTTCAAACATTTAATTTAAAAGTGTGGCATCCTGCAATGTGTGATCAAACCTCACTTCCATGTTTACTTGCAACATACAGCCTCCTTTATTAAGATAACAGTTCTTAATACGCAGGCATGCTTTCAGCTATTGATCCACAACATTCTGACTTCGAAACACTTAGAATTAAGATTTCAGCAAACTTCTGTGGTGCTCAGTTGGCTTAAATTCAAGAATGCAACATGTAAGTCCATCAGCTTGCTACCATTTCAGTGACTGGGAGAACATATATGTCATTAGAGGTTAAATTGGAAAAGTGATTGGAAAAGTTGTCGTAAAGTTATAAAGGAGGCTGGGAAGACAGAATTTATTGGTGCCATCATGCTGCAGATATTTATTATAATGATCATTGTGGGGGAGGAAGGGAAAGGAGATTGTTAGCCGCTTTGAGACTCCTGAAGGGGAGTGAAAGGCGGGATATCAAATCCAAACTCTTCTTCTTCTTCTTACTCACTGTTGCAAAATAAACTTGTATAAATTGCTCTACCTATGGAAGAACATGTTCTGTCTTGATTGCTTATCAGCTGCTTTCACTTGGTTTTCTGGAACATTTTAACAGGCTAGCCAAAGTATATGTGTAATGGTCACAATTCAGAAAACTGTTTAACTAGCTGTGGTGCTGATGCTTTTTTCTAATGGCCCAATATCTGTATTGTACAAAACAGATATCCCGATAAGTTAAGTTTCTGTAGGAGCCCTGCAAAGCACAGTGATCAATTGGGTATACAAGGAGTGAAATTATCTTTCAGGTATCCTGGTCCCAAGCTGTACACCTTGAACTTAGCTTGGTTGCTAATGGGCCACCAGTGCATGTTTTTTCAGCAGCTGAGTAACATGGTGGAAATACCCTGGTGGTCTTCAACTAGTGGGTCAAGTCAGGAGTGAGTACCAAGTTGCAGTCTGATCTAAGATGGGTCACACCGGCAGGTAGACTACTAGCCTAGACCATATTGAATGGCAAAAAGACTTCTGAAATGTGAAAGCTTAAACTCCTGTTTAAGGAAATATATCCCATGGAAAACATTTGAGCACATCTACGAGGTAAGGAAGTAGCCCATGTAGGAGAAGGAAAACTCTGATCCTAAACCTTCCACTGTATTACGAGATATGTTCAGAAGAAAAGACTGAGGAGTAAACTCTACACAAATCCAGAGTGGAGGATCTAAGACACTTGGATTGCGCCTATGTATGCCTACTTCCAGCAACTCCTGCAGCCAAGCTGATGCCAAAAGGATTGCTCTGCTTTCCATTGGAAATTAGCAAGGCCAGGAGGAGGGTCCTGTTGTCTGGGCAGCCCAGGACCTCCATACACACTGTCCCGGCTTGAACCCCAGGGTGGTCATTTTGGCATTGCTAACACAGTGGTTTGACTTCACCCCCAGAGGCACACTCCATTGTCTCTCGAAACAGACAAGATTCCAACAACATTTCCAGGCTTCTAATGTTTCATTTTAATGTAGTCTTGTGGCATGGACTGAAAGAATGGTATTGTTTTCCTGTTCCCACAACAAACTACAGTAACTCAGAAAGCTTGGTATAAGAGACTGGGACTGCCATTCTCTACCACCTACCTTGGAGAAGCCCAAGTTAATCAGTTAATCAGATAAATAAGATGAGCGACCCGGCAAGTTGCACAAGAATGGAAAACAATCAGTGCCTAGTTTCTGTTCCTTTGGCCAGGTCACCAAACTAAGTTTAGTTCATGCATTTTTAATGTCTGAGGGCCATTACCAAGGCAGGACACTGCAGAGGAGAGTTCCAACCATATGGTGCTTAGCTTGATGCCATGCATTCATCTCACACATTTCATTACTCCACAGGTGCACCTAAGGAATCTGGTAATACTTGAAATATGTACATAACACAAACAGTGTGTTACATTTATGTATCAGGATTTTTTTTATTTGGATTACTTTTTCAACATACAACCTAATGTTAGCTACAAAAGTTGTGAAATGGTAATACTACGAACTGAAAGGGGGGGGGAACCACCCATCAAGTTTTGATTTCTTCTTTTTCTTTTAAAAAAGTACATTTACAGCTTTTCCCATGACTAAGATAAACCACATTTTGATGGATTGTTTAATAAAACATAGCATACATTTAGAAAAAAAATAAATTATAAAAACATTAAAGAAACTAATACCATCAACAGCATGAAGAACCCTTCATTGTTCATTGTCAAGAGACAGAAATGAAATCTCTAGGCACAGTTTTAGGCATTATAGAGGACACAGAGGCAATAGGTTAGTGTGCACTGTTCTGTACAAAAATACAGTCTGAATAAATTACATTGCTAGCCATAAGATTAAACTTCACTTTATCAGTCAGTTCATTGCATGTTTAATAATATACAGTTTACATGCTAATCCATATATATATATATATATCTATATATCTCTCACTTATATTTCAAACACATAGTTCTCTCTATATTTATGTCTTTAAAATTTACATGTTGAGCTTACAAAAGCTGAACGTAGTTGTGCAGGAAATCCAAGAGAGGTCCTAGATAGTTGTCAGCACCGGACAGAATACTTTAAGCTTTAAAAATACAAATATCTAGCCCTGGTTGCAGCTTTGCTATATATAGTTTTATGTGTGTGCACGCGCATCTGCAAGTTAAAACAATATATGTGTAGTGTGAGAATTCATCCTGTTAGTGACATAAAGCCAAATACAACTGAGTGCTAACAATTCAATACAATAATGATAATCATACATTAAAATGTGATCTTTTACACATACAATCAAACACTAAAGTGTCTAATCCTGTAGATAGAAAAGGGTATTTCTGATGTGCATTATAATTCAGTACAGAAATCCTATGCAAGGTAGAACTGTCAATGTTTCAAAGAAGGTGTAAATGAAGCATTAAAATCTGCACTGAGGTAACAGGGACAACAGGGTGGGGCAAGATGTAATCTTTTTCATTCCTTAATTCCCCCCCCTGGATTTCTTATGGTAAAGACTCAAAAACATTGTACTCATGCTATAGTTAAGTGTTCTGATTGCTATGTTACAAAAACACAGTAAAATTACTGAGCTGTATCCAATTAAGCCATACTCAGAGTAGACCCACAGAATTTAACACAGCTAAAATAGTTTTGTCAATTAATTTTAAGGGGTCTTCTCTAACTTTGAATGCAATGCTATAGTACTAAAAGAATACTAATAACAATCCTGGGTTCACATCTCAGTGATTCATAAACCGATCAACCTTGTCAGTTTGTCACTGTCATCTCCATTTTCTTTCAATGGAAGCTGGAGTATCTGGTCAAGAAGACCAAACTATTTCCCCACCGATCTAAACCATGGGCACAGTGACAAACCTGTATGTAATGTGTGGTAAATCAAATCACACAAACAGCAGGACTCTGTGGCACAAGTTGTCAAAGGAAGTTAAACCTATGGAACAGAGTCAGGTCTTCACTTCAGCTACAAGTTGCCACTGTTTACAGCTTGAAATAAAATGAAAGCCCCACACTGGCAACTGCTTATAAAAAGATGAACCTGCCTTTTGTACTATCTTTTCTGGCGGCTGGTATCCAAACTCTTAGCCATAAATCTTTCTCAGCACGTCTAATGTTGTTGGACCACAACCCCAATGACCCCTGGCTGAAGCTGATCACATCTGAAGTCCCACAACATCCAGAAGGCCACAGGTTTCCCATCCCTGCTGTACATGAACGAACTTATGCCTTTCATCATACAAAGCATTGTCACTGGGCTCTAGTGCATATAGGAGTGTGCACAGAAATAGAAGTATCTTATATTATAGAATGAAAAAAATGGCACAATCATTTAAAATGGTGGCCACTACTGGGCTTACCAATGCCATAAGCTCCAAATTTTATATTATCACATATATATTTACAACTCTGCAGAGCCAAACAATAGCCTAACATCCCAGTCCAGAATATAATAATAATATGCCACCATACTTGCTAAACCCTATTCAAAATCCTTTGGCTTATTTAAGCTTCAGTCACCTGTGAATGTACATTCCAGTCTCAGTTGCCAAAATCCCTTTATCCTTTGCTACCTGTGCTGCACATTCAGTGATTCTCCTTTTCATTCTAAACACCTTCTATCCTTCTTGGATGAATTAATAGCTACATACAGATAATTATTATTTTTTGTCTTATTGTACTCCATCAGCTACCTACCACCATAGTTGGCATCTGTTGCAGGATGAAGGGTAAGAGGGAGCTGACCACATTAATAAGTCTGTTCTGCCAGTGTATGTGTAATGTAGCAGGGGTGGGGAAACCTGTGGCCATTCAGATGTTGCTGGACTCCCAACTCCAGCCAGTGTGGTCAATGGTCAGGAAGGGGGAGAGCTATAGTCCATCAACATCTGGAAGGCTGTGGTTTTTCCAGCCCTGAAGTACAGGATCACCACAGATGCATTCTTGCTCCTGAACGTGCTTGTTCTTACTGCTCCCTCTGCCTCATGCACAAACCTATGTTTGCACACAGATCAGAGTACAGTTTATTTTTTATAAAACAATATTGCATTTTTAATAATGGCATGGGTAAACATATTTATCATGGTTTTATGATTTATAAAACACACCTTTAATCTCTCTCTGATTTGCTGTAATTAAAATTACTTCTAAGGTCTTAACATTAAAGAACTATAGTTCTATAGTTTTGAGGACTGTGCTCTTAAAGAAAATCCATGCTAGGATATATCTTAATTTCCATTTAACAAAAATAATTGTTTCTAAATATGTATCTTAGAATTGTATACACTGTATAAAAATATTTTCAGAATTGAAAATACCCAATAAGCTGATTGTAAACAAAAATAAATGTTACATTGTGTAAATCAATTTAAATTTTCTACCCCAGATATTAATCTTGGGTCTTAAATACTTTATATATTTTCTGCAAAATTTAAGTAAGAAATAACTTAAGATACTTAAGATACTCAACTTAAGAACTTGAGATAAATGCAAATAATTGTCAGCCAATCCATTACATTTTGAGGAGAAAACAGTGATACTGATACTATACTGTTAAATTATAATTTTCGTAACAGCTAGTCTCCTACAGAAAACATGTGTTCACTGGATTACTTTTAAAAATAAAATATAAGTGAAACAGCAATTTGCCACATTAGTATATTTTTCTTCTTCTTCAGGAACTTTTATTTGTGTAATAGAAAGCATTATTTATTTTAATGATTTCATTTACCAATAAAACTCTGTAATAACTTCCCTCCATTGGGACCCACCTATCAGTATATGTTTTTTGAGCCAATCGCTACCATTAGGAAATTAGATATTTTTCTTCTACTCCATCTTAGTATCATATTAATTTCTATAGAAGTTTTCAGTTTAAAACAATATTAAAGAAGATATCATTACATTGGCCTTTTTATATACATAACTGTATCATTACCATAGTGCCTCTGCCAAATAGATATCATGGCTGCATTTGGACATCATGATTAACCACGGTTTATCATGATGTGAAAAAGCCAAAGTGAAGCCCTCTTCTCTGGTGTAGCTGTGATATCAGATGAACTGATATTTTGATTAACTGCACTTTAGTGTTATGTCTAACCTAAAATGTGGTTAATTATCACTTTGATTTATTGAAATGAACCAGCTTCATAATCCACAGTTTGCAGGTGGCTTGTTTTGAACGAAACATTATTAGGATTAACTACGTTTTGTTGGGTTTTAACAAGACAACAAACCTCAGTTAATAAAAAGCCATATCAAAAGATTTTAAACCACTTCATGGTGCTGAAGCAGAAGAGGAGAGGGCATGGGGGTCCCCCACAAGTGCGAGGGTTGCCTATGCTCATTCCTGTTATAATAAACCATGGGTAGAATTCCATGTAGTGCTAAAGAGATTGTTCCATCAGTGCAAACATTTCTGCTTTCCTGATAGGACAGTCTCCCATCACGTGCTGTTCTGGGGGTTCTCCCAACTCTCCATAATAGATTTGGAGGAGGGACTGGAGAATGGGGAAAGTCCTGTTGCATTAGCAAGAGTCCTTGCGCTGGTTTCTGCTAACAGAACAGGTAGTTGAATCCAGCTTCATCATCTAAATGAAGCCAACGCCATGTTTTCTAACTTTGCAAGCACTTGGTTCACCCCATCCTAATCTGGCACATCAAGCTTTAAATCAAGCATTTTGAGAATAAATTCATATGGGAAAGGATTCATTAAAATATTTTGAAGACTACTCAATATTCAGAAACAGTTCTTGAAAATCGAGATTCATTTCGAACCTTTACTGTTTCAGCCCACTGTTAGGAATAGGTTGAGCTGACCTATGTTTTCTCTTGATAGTAATACCAATAAACACCTTCTATAAAAATAGTTGTTCCTTATGGAAACCTTACTGCAGTGTTTGGAAATCAAAAGATGGTCAGGACTAGCACATCTCATGCATGTATTCTCTTCTTTTTATTCTCTCATGGGAGTCAACAGATTCAGTGTCCTTCTCTGCTTATACTTGGTTACAGCCGAGACACAAAGTCCAACCACATAATTAGAAGAATGCGCTCCAAGTTTTGACTTCCTGATATACCACAGCTGGCTGGAAAATGTGGATTGCCAAATGTACAAACTTGTGTTGTCAGGAAATAGCAGATTAATATGTACTTTCAACTATGTTCGCTTTTCTCAGCATCCAATCATTTAGAAGTTTGTTTCAGCAAAAGTCCCAGTGCACCAATACAACATAGTGGTGTAACTCAGTGACCAATAGAGAATTTGAATCATGTATAATACAAAGGAGCTTTTACTTAGGCCAGCTACTCCCTTGCAGGCGACAGCAAATGCAGGTGCCATATTTTCATTCCAGCTTGTTTCTCATGACGACTGCTGCCACCTTCGTCCTCGAGTCGTACTGATCTTTGCTTACCAAAGGTAATGTATCAGTAGCTTATAGCATTTGCTAATGTACTGATGAACAGGTGTAATTTTTGCCATTCTTTTAAAGGGGTGTTAAAAAAGTTAATTGCAAGAGTTGTAGCCCAAAGTAAAGGCTGATAAATCAACAGGGCAGACTGCTGGACAATCTACAAAAGTTCTAAAAACACAGAGTTAGAAAAAACAGAACAATCCTTGTGTTATTTCTTCTTCTGCTGCTTTTTAAAGTAGCTCCCTTTAATAATAGTCTTCATAGTTCTTAGGGTTTAGGCAATACAATATGGCACCCCCAAATGAAAATATAGTTGCACCCCAAGCTAGTCCATAGCCCCAGTTGAACTCATGATATATTCTCAAATTTACTGTTTCGATGAACTTGATTGGATACAGGACGAGACTGCACACCTGAAGAACCACTGGGGAGAAAAGAAAAGGGGGGAAAGGTCAAATATGAGGCTTCATCCATTTTCCTAGAATAAATAAAATGCTAAATCACTAATCCTTTGGTGGAGTTTTTGATGTACGCTAGGAGCATACTACATACAGGCAACTCCCCACTTAATGCACATTTGGCTCATGTGCAACCATGTATATGTGTGTGCCAGGAAATAAATAAATACCAGTAATTCATTTCAAACCTGGAAATGGCTGGAGAGAGTTAGAGTGTCCTTGTGGCTCATGAGGAGACCCTCCCTGGCGCCTGAAGAGGATGTCAGTAAGGGTGGATGAAGCTCTGAAGAGACCGGAGGCGCTGCAGGGTTTTGTTTAGGCTGCTCAGTCTCCCTGCCTAACAACTGGTGTGTGCGGTAAAACAGCAGCAGCAGCAGTAGTAGCTGCTGCTTTTCCACTCATCCTCCAGCCTTCAGCCAGGCCCAGAGACTCAATTCTGGTTTGCCTGGATTGGAGAGAGAGGGTGTTTAAAGGGGACTCCCCACTTCACATGATTTCACTTGTGTGATCAGGCTTCCAGAACGGAACCCCCACATTAAGTGGAGAGTCGCCTGCATTTAGAAATGCAATCTTGATTTCCTGCCTGGACTGTACCACTTTCAAAGTGCAATCTTGATATGAGAACAATCTTGGCATGAAACTTTCTTTTAAAAAACACACACTTCTGAGAAATAGAAAGGGTTAGAGCCCTGTCAGTAGCATACTCCTGCTGTATTTAGGGCAGCTGTATGGTTCTAGTACTTTGAATTGGCTTGGAAATAAATTGGCAGCCGTTGCAGTCAGACCAGGGTTGGTGTTATGCGCTCAAACCGCCTTTCCCTGGTGAGCAACCTGGTCACTGAATTCTGCAGCAGCTGAAGTTTCTGAACCATTTTCAGAGGCAGCACCACATATAATGCATTGAAGTAATCTAACCTAGAAGTTCCTGGGGGATAGACAACAGAAGTTAGGCTATCCTTGTCCAGACAGGGGTTTAGCTGGGCCACCAGCAGATGGAAGGCACTCTGTGTCAATCTGTGCACTTCACTGGCTCCCCACCTGGACAAGGTGGGATTCTTTAGTCATTTGTTTGCTTTATTAAGAATGTTTATACCCTGTCTTTCCTCAACAAGCTCACGACGTAAGCTACAACTGTAACTTAGTTTCACAAACTGTTGTTAAACAGCAATAAACACTATAAAACAACAGGAGGAAGAAGATGAAACAAATAGCCATAGAAATAGTATCCTGACAGCAATTAAAAAGTACTAGAAAAAGAAAAGAACCACTTATGGCTCACAAATCTTCCTTTAAGTGTTATGTGTATGAGAGAAAACATTCAGCTATGGTTTCCTTCATCTTCCAGGTGAACTGATATGATCCAGTAAGCGCTGTAGCTGCTGATGTTTCTAAACCTGAATTTAGCTTCCAATTTATGGGCATAATGCTATTGGAAATTCTCTGAAACAAGTCCTGTTGAAATGACAGAACTAGCACAAAAGCACAGTGGCAGTCATTTCAATTCACATAAAACCGCATTTGTTTCAATAAACCTTGCACAGCATTCCTGGTGGAATGTGCAGTCCATGTAAAATATATTTAATCTAAAATTTATTGAGTCCACGCTCTGGTAACCTTCAGGTTAGACTACTGTAACGTACTATATTTAGCCCACAGAGAATATGGCAATCTAAATATAATCCTATGTATATAGACACATATTTCTGGAACAGGGCAATGGCCTGATATTTCAGGGTTCTGAAGAATAAGCCATATCAATTATGCTTTTCCCGTTACTGCAGATCAGACTTTCTTTGCAATAACAGCAGAACACAGGTGACTAAGCTAATGGCTTCTATAAATAGATCATAAAAGAGTGGGAAAAATAAAGTAGGGGATGATGAAGATAGATAATTTAGGAAAGCTCATTTATAATTATATGACTCAATGTAATAAAGAATATCATTTATCAACTAATTACAACAGAATTCATTTGGAATTGCACATTAAAAATACATATAACCTCCAATTAATATCTTACATTCCTGACACAGCCATATTCTTACCTTCCACACAGTGCAATAAAGCTTCTTAATAATTTGTAACATTCAAATATTTGTTTTGAACAGTAAGTACTCAATAAGAAATAGCCTTGATGTCACTGATTATTACCAAAGCAAAGTTGTGCAGTCTAAATTTTATCAGGTCTATGTAACTGTCTGAAAGACAAAAGTTAAACAAAGTCTATGTGCCTGCACAATAATAAGATGCCATAAGTAGAGCATTGGCTCTGGATGTGGATGACAAACATCAGCTGACATGACTATGGTTACAATTATGAATTAGATCCTATGGCGAAGGTACCAAATGTGCATTAGATTATACCAGGAAGCCCTCTCTAACCCTGTAATGCAGAGGGGGCAGGGGCGGAGGAAGGGGATGTGGTGGGTGCGGTTCGCCCCAGGTGTCACCACTGAGGGGGGTGACAAAATCCAGGGTGGCACTCTCCTGGGAGAGACGTGGTAGCTTGGGTGTGCGCAGGCTCCACGCTGCCCAAACAGTCCGCCCCCTGCCTCCCCCCCCAGCTGTAGGGCAGCAGAGTGGGAGGAGGCAGGCAGACTCCGGAGGCCCCACGGTGCACCCTACCTCTATGGGTGGGTGGCTCGCCCCACCCCTGGGCGCACTGCCCCAGGCGCCCGAGCGGCTTCCTCTGCCGCTGAGGAGTGAAGGATCTTTTTGGCTCCACAGGCCAGATCCTTATCAGGATTGGCCTCGCAGGCCAAATTCAATAGATGGGCAGGGCTGCCCACCTGTCAAAATCCCTTGTATGGCTTTGCAAATATCCCTAGCTCCCCTTTAACCCCTGACATTAGAGAGTTCAAAGTAGGAATGGGAAGACTTGTGCAGGCTTTAAGACAACCCATGTGCTCCTGTATGAACATCTCAGGTCTTTTTTTTTTTTTGCAAAGAAGGAGCCACCCTCCTTCTCCTTTAAACATTGGAGCAAATCGCCTCTCCCGCTCCTCTCAACATCCATTCCACAGAATCCATGCCCGCTTTATCCCTTTTCTTGGCTTGTAACAGATAGCCATGAAAGGTTAGCAGCCTTGGTCTGGATTTGGACCCCTGTTGACTTGAAAGGAACAGTGGTATAGTCCCTGTCTTTGGATCCTGCGTACAATAGTTGATACTTGATACTTGAGTGGGTGGTTGCTGAACACCTGCAGAGTTCTTGCAATTGCGGAATGGGTATTAAGTGGCACCTGTAGTAGTGCCAATTGTGCCGATCGAAACAGTCAAGATAACTGAGCTGAGAGTTTGTTGGACCCTGGGTGAGAACCTGGAGGCTGAGGGGTGTGTGTGTGTGTGAAGCAAAATGGATTGATACTGTGTATATATATTAGTAACTTTTTAATAATGTAACATCTTTATGTTTTAACATTTTCTTTAAGTTTAAGTTCTTTAAGTTTTCTTTAAGTTGTCAGTTGCTGCTTTTTTGTATGCCGCATATATATATATATATATATATATATATATGCTTTCGTAGATTTTCACGGGTACAGGAATGCAGGTTTTGGTGTCTTCGGGTGTCTTCCCGTGTAAAAGTTGGGGTGTCTAGGCGACGTTTCGACGAGGTCTCACTCGTCATCTTCAGGCTGGTGCTTTCGGCTTCTTGTTACTGGAACAGCTCTGTTCCAGTAACAAGAAGCCGAAAGCACCAGCCTGAAGATGACGAGTGAGACCTCGTCGAAACGTCGCCTAGACACCCCAACTTTTACACGGGAAGACACCCGAAGACACCAAAACCTGCATATATATATATATATATATATATAATGCTATAATGCTTAATATATAATCAATCAATAATCAAAACTTGGTTCAGTTGGTATAGAATGCCTGACTATTGTTAGGTGCAGGCTGGTGTGATTGTTTTACACCTCATTTAACACATCTTCATGAATCACCAGTTAGTTTCTGGACTCAACTCAAGCCATTGGTTTAAATGGTCTGAGCACTGGCACTGAGCACTGAGCCAGCAAGTGCCTTCTCTCATGTCATTCCAAACAAATTTGATTGTATGGGAATCTTGTGTTCTCAAATGTGTTGTATTGCATGCCAGGGGCAGAGAGAAGTTGGCATTGCAACAACAGGAGCACAAACATTTCTTCTTGCCAAATAGAGCATTATTTTCCCCTGCCTTGTGCTGCCCTAGGGGTTCTCCCAACCCCCCAGAGCTGAGGGTGAGCAGGGAGTTTAGGGGTGAGAGGGGGAAGCCCTGGTGCATTAGTGGGACTCCTTGTGCTGGCTATTGCAAGCACAGCTAATCAGTTATATCTGGCCCATGCATTTTATACTGAATATAATTTGTTCATCTAGGCTGAGATCTAGTGGCTTCCATATTGCTGTGGAATTACACAGAAGGCAACAACTAGAAGTGGCTAGAAAAAATAATAATAGAAAAAGGATGCCTAGAAGACTTTTTTTTAAAAAAAAGCAATTTAAAACTCATTTTTAGTAAACCATTCTGTTGCCAGCACTGCGTCAATTATGCTAGATAAAACTAACATATTTCATGAATCTATTTTGCTAATTTCTTTGACAACTCATTGAGATAATAGAATTCTGGTAGCCTAAACTCATGTGCCCTCTGCTAAACAATAGTGGTTTAACTAAAATAATGGAAACAGCAGGGGGCAGTCGATACTTCCCCTTATCACTATTTCAATTCTTGAAATACTAAGGGCCTATCTTTCCACCTCCTTGTAAATGGATTTTTAAAATCCATCTAGCAGAGAAGATGGCCTTGTCATTCTCTCCATTATGGGATATCATACAGGCTTACTGTTTCAGTTCCAGCACAGATATGATTGACAGAATGGAGGGATGCTGTGCCTGGAAAACTTCAGGGAGAAAAAACTGTTACTGGCTAACCCAAAGGACACTGAAGTGCATACCAAGTGGTGATTTCAATGCAGATAGTATGCACTGCATTATCCTTTGGGCTGATAGGTTTATGTGGGTCTTTCTTAAAAGTATTTCTGAGCACAAATTCTTTCCTTTGAAGCTTTGCAAAATAAAATAAAGGCTTTACAATGTGATGGCTGTTACAAAAAGTAAATCTGACACAATGAAATTGATTCTTCCTGTGAAGCATGGGGAAGATATAAACACCTTTCAGTTTAATCCTATTTATTTTCGTACAGATGGTTTTGAGAGCTAGTACTTAAGGGACTTTTACAATCAAATATTTGAAAAGAATAGCATTAAGCTGAAAGAAAGAAAGAAAGAAAGAAAGAGAAAGAAAGAAACTATCAACACCATCAAAAGTTGCTGCAATATAGGCTGCAACTTTTTCATTAAACATAGTGGGATTTATTATCACTTAAACATAAATAATTTGCACTGTTAATGGCTCTGTCCTTACAAAGGCCTGGAATGTGGACAGTGATGATTACCCTATATTAAATTTCAAAACTGCAACACTACTAGGTTAAATACCAATAGACTTCTTGTAAAAGTAATGCACCTCTGTCATATAACAGCATATAGAGTTCATTTGCTCAAATAGCTGGACTGTGGGTTGTTGAATAGTTGACAGCTCCATACAGTCCTGTTCATGGATTCTTCATACTGTAGATTATTGTTATTAATATCCCACCTTTTCCCCCGACCGGGACTCAAGGTGGCTTACAGATAAAATAGAAAAAGTAGAAACAGAAAAGATAGTAATTTAAAAAGCAGTTAAACACTAATAGAATTAAAACATTAAAAAAGATATATTTTAAAATACAGGTAATAATAATAAGGGGGGGAAGGCCCAGGAAACCCAGCCAGATGGGCAGGCTACAATTATTATTATTATTATTATTATTATTATTATTATTATTATTATTATTTAGAGACAGCCTATGATGAATTGCAGTGCAAACATGGGGAATGAGCAGTCGTCTCCATATTCATAAGTACAGTAAAAAAGTGCAGCTATGATTACAAATCTCCACGTGTTCAACTTGGTTTGCGACAGATTTTCACCACACAGGTATGTACCCAACTGAATGGAAGAATTTGATAAGAATGAACTGACACTCTGATAATAACCCTTTAAATCACATCGATCTCATGACTATTTCCACATATCAGGGAATGAAAAAAATTTGAAAAAGCCCAGTCTATGTAAAGAACCCCCAGATCACTTGATATTCTTGAGTTTTCAAATGAGAAATAAGGGATTGTTTTTTTAAAAAATAGCATGATAATGCTTCAGAATGCAAGACAGGTTGAGTTAAGGCATCAGTTACTGCACATGAATGCTTAGCTGTGAATGATTTGGCCATGGGTGCTAGAGATTCTTTGTCATGTAAGCAAAGGTTGATCATGCTGTATAATCAAGAACTTCTGAAATAACCTTGGGCAATGATCTGATTATTGGCTTACAATGCACGATGAGTCACTCTTTTCTGCACAAACGTAAAACTACAGCTAGGAAATTCTAGCATACTTCAGAGAACCAATCTGTTTGATTTACCTGCTGCAAACAGCATGACAGCAACTGGTCTGTAGAACCGCCTCCGGGATCCCACACAGATAGAAATTAATCCAACCAAGAAAGCTATAAGAATTATGGCGGCACCACCCAACAGCATAGAAAGTGTAGCGATCTGCCAGTCTGCAGAGAGAAGGAAACACAAATAATTGAAACTAGATAGTAACTCATTTAAAAAAGGATGTCTATGTAAAATGCAAAAACAAACAAGGACTCCAGTAAACACAGAAAGGTGTTATTCATAACAGAAAATACAATTGCATTCAGACTTTTAAAAATAGCTTTTCAGGACAGTTCTCTTAGTCAGATTTAAGATGCTATCTGTATGTATTCTATTTTAGGTACCAAAGGAAAAACTGCAAGATTCTGTGTAATGCAGATATCGGGTGCTTATAATATTGACCATTTATCTCTTCACCACTTTCCTATAGTAGTTAATGGGATACCCCTTCCTTAATTTACAGCCACAAGCCTATGCATGTTTTTTCCCCAGGGAAGTGTGACAGAACTGTAGCTTTAGTTATAAAAGGTTTACAATAATGAGGAGCTCAATAAAACTTGGTATGACTAAAGTAGAAAGGAAAAACTCATAGTAAAACCATCAGAGGGCTATTTGCAAATTAGCACACTCAGGAGTGCCAGCTTGGCTTTGTGACCATGGGTGCCCAGGGCTGTGGGTGCCATGCAGCATACATGGCCCTGACACCAAACCTTTTCCGTGCCTGGCCCCTGGGGAATTTTGTGGGTGCTTGGGCACCCAGGGAGCTGGCACCTATGAACGCACTTGAATTTCAACAGTTAGTTAACTAGAGCTATTAATGGCCCAATAATCCTAAGGTGCATTTGGGTGGAACATGAATACACCAAAACAAATGATACTTCTGATTGAAAATAATTCTATTGTTTCAGATATATTTGTCCAGGCTACAATTTATATTTATTTTAAAGATTTATAGCCTGTTATTCATTGGCACAAATATCAGGGTAGGATACAACATAAAAAAACACAAGCAAGCAAAGTTCAAGTCAGCTAAACAGAGAAGGCGAAAACGGACACTCATTCAAAACCTAAAAATAGGAACTACTTCACAATGACAACCATGTCAGACGACGTGCAAGGGGAGGGCATCCCACAGAGAAAAATCCATCTTGTTTCACCACCAAATGTAGCTCCTCTAACAGTGGAATGCAAAGAAGAGCCCCGACGGCTAATCTTAAAACACAGGTATTCAGGGCCACAGTTCAACAGCATGTGGAGACCATTTATAATATAAAATATAATTAGTCAGCTATTTTGCAAGAAAATAGGAGCACAGGGGAACTGAATCCATTCTTTCAGGCCCTGCAGGTGGATCTTGGTGGTGGGAAGGGCTGTAGCTCACTGGCAGAGCACATGCTTTCCATGCAACAGGTCCCACACTCTCCAGGTCGAGATGGAAAAGCCTCTTGTTTGAACTCTTGGAGATCTACAGCCAGTCAGCAGCAACAATACTGCACTAGATAGGTCAATGATCTTAGCTGAGATTCCTGCACTAGGGGCTGAACTAGATGGCCTCAGGGTCCCTTCCAACTCTATGATTTTATGATCACTCACACACAGATGAAAATATAGCTGCCCCTATGTGTACATTGGGGGCAGTCATCTTTTTCTCTTGTTAACTACCCAGGAAGGGGTACTCTGTCATACCATACTACATCTTCCAGTAGCTTTTTAGTGAAATGTGTTCAATGAGTGCAGGAAGACCACTTGCTAAATGGTCTTTAAAAGAAAGAAAAAATGTCAGGGAGGACCGCAGACCACCTTGGATGTACTTATAATTTTATTTTATTTTTTAAGTGTAGGGGTTTTTCTTCCTAGGTTGACTTAGGACGCGACACCACTGGCTTCTTTGCCTCACATAGAAAAATGTATTTGGTGAACCTAGGTAAGAACAATAATTTGCAACAAATTAGACTACAGGATTTGGTGCTTTGTGTAGACAAAAGTTTTTTTATACTGTATAACTTTGGGAACTTAGTTTGCACGCTCTCCAATCCCACAGTTGTATTAATTTTAAAACAGGACTTCTCGGCAAAAGAAATAGGGCATTATGTTATATAATTGATGGCACAAAATCAGGTTAAACACAATACACCAAATAATCTTGGGCTGAGATTTTCAAAGCCAATTTAATGAGTGTGGTGAATTAAAATCCCCCAGCTAATTTAGAATTTCTTAATGCAAGAGTTCTAAAGGCTCTTCAAGCTAATGAAATGTAGCAAGAGCTGAGGCAAGGGTAGAGCTGCTCTCAAATTCAAGAGCAAATTCTGTCACACATGTGTATAATATTTATTTTACTTTAGAAAGAGAACTGTAGGTAGTTGAATGTTTTATGCAACCCCGCCCCCAAACCAAAACACTCGACATACCAGAACAGTGCTGTACTGTTAAACAGAGAGGTGTAAGTAATTGACGGCTTATGAAAGAATTCAGCGAAACTTTCTTTGGTTCAAACAAGTCCTATTTGGATGCTCAAGTTATGTATGATTAACATCACATGAGGCACCCTGCACCAGCCACTTCCCAACACTATCCAAATGTTTGGGAGGAAGTCTGCAGCAGGGCAGCATAACCAAAAGCAAGTAGGGTGTCTCTTGTGACCTCAAACCCTGGGTGCTTCGTCTGTAATCACTTTAGGATTGGGGGGGGGGGCTGGGCAAGAGTCTCTAAAAGGTATGAAAGCGAGTCATGCATAAGATTTAACTTAATTCTATATGTGAAGCTGAAATGGAAGTGTGGATAATTGCATAGTGATACATTCATTGTGGTCAATTTTTATTACAACTGGAGTGGAGAAAATTACCTAATACATTATATCAATACCACACTGTTAATACATGAATACGAGTCGTAAATAGAAAGAAACAAGCCACTACCTTTGACATGTGATAGTCTTACATAAACAGATACAGATCCCGCAACTCCCCCACTCGAAAAGAAAGAAAAGAAAAGAAAAGAAAGAAAAGCTTATTGAATGAAATCATGGTAGGAGGGACATATGGTGAATTGGTGATAGCCAGTTCACGGATAAATGATTAATCACTATACCTTTGTTTAAGAGTCAATTCTCTAGTATCCCATTGAATGAAATGGACTTTTTCACACCTGCTTGGAAGAAAAGTCCTCAGTCAAATCACTGTACTCCTAACCTTCATGGACAGTGTTGGAAACAACACATTGTCCCCAGTCTCTAGCTAGCATTGGGGAGGGGCCTGCCTGAGTCATAATGGTAGGGGTGCATTTAGTGAAAATGACCCTGCTCTCCTGCCTCATAACTGACTGGCAAAATAGGTCTACAGTAGCACAGGAATGCAATGCATATGAAATGTATACTGAGTATACTGCATGCAGGCCACTTTTCCTGTGGCAGCTGATTTAAACTATCTTCACACTGTGTCCCTTTGTGGACCTACAGGCTCTTTTTTGTAGTTTTGTGGCAGGACAATGAGTTACCGGTAATACACAAGAGTGTATCATGCATGCCACTCCTAACTATGGAAAGTATCTGGATTGCTGGCTCAGGTAGACCAGATCTAGTTTATGTCACAATTAACTTTCTTTTATTCTTTTAATTTATTTTTTCCTTGTTCTTCAGCTAGGGAACCTTAGAGCAGATAACGAAAGATTTAAAAATACAATAAAACAACATTAAAACTGCAGACTATAAAACAGCTTTTGAAATCAATTAGTGACAGCTCGGTTGAAATGCAGTAGAAAACTACAATATGGAAAATGCCTGAGCAAAGAAAAATGTTACACCTGACTCTGAAATGACATCAAACTTGACACGAGGAAAGTCTATCTGGGGAGAGAGCTCTAAAACTTAAAAAAGGTACTGGTTCTAGGTCACTATCTGCTTCATCTCTCATGGCAGATGCACTCAAAGGAGAGTCTCATGAAAAGATTTCAGTGTCCTGGCACAAGACAGTCCTTGTGGCCTTTAAATGTAAGAACCAGCACTCTGAATGGTGCCTTGAAGTAGACTGGGAGCCAATACTGTTATTTAAGACTGGCAAGATCTGTTCCAAATACCCAGTTTCAAGTCTGCACTCTAACAACTGTTTTGCACCAACTGAACCTTCTTGGAAGTCTTCAAATGCATGTATGGTAATCGCTAACAGGAACTGCTCTGCAACTGCTGTTATCATTTATACTCACAACAGCCATGTAAGATAGATGAATTTAAAAGGTATAACTAATTCATTTTTATACAAATCCAAAGAAATTATGATCCAATTATTAATGGGACCTAAATTAGTCACAACGAACTTGTCCTAGTGATTTCAATTGATTTCATAAGCACGGAATTCTCTGTATTTGGACCAATATATTTTTAGCACAAAGTTATGTAGGTTATCGGATGAAAGTTACGGAAAGTATTGAATGTACAGCAACAGACTCTTGTTCCATTTGTTTCATTATCCAATAAGATCACAACTAACTGTACATCTGATAAGCTTCCTAAACTGGGCTGAATGGTGGCATTGCAATATAATGGGAGCTTGTGGTGAAGCCAACAGTCTTCCCAAGGGTTCAGGAGTAACTCAATAACACACACTTCATTATGTTAAAGCAGATGAAACAGGAGTTTGTTACATCCATACACAGTGAGTTTACAATCCCTGATTCAGTTTCAAAATTTCAGAACAAGTGGTTTTAATAGCTACATTTTGACCACACTGAAGCATCAGAGCCCTACAAAGCAAACTGTCTGCTTTACAAATATTTACAAGAACTTGTTTCAAACTTCAGAAATACAGATTCTCATTGCTGTCGCTGATAACTCTCTAAACATGTAGGCAATCCCAATGCAAGAAATATATAAATCTGTCTTTGTGCTATGAAGCAGACTGAAGCCACTAATGTTTAGAAGCTGTGTACATAAAGGACTCGCTCAGATGGCAATTCCTTAGTGTAAGACACTATGACCCTTTTGTGAAAAGGCCCATGTGAATTAACAGGGCAGCAGGTCTGTGTTGTTCACACCCCTAGGGTTGCGCAGCTCCTTGGCTTTGTCCCTGATATCCACACATTAAATGGAAAATTTTGACCAATGGGTCTAATTAGCCGACTCCAGTTGGCC